AAAAAAAAAAAAAAAAAAAAAAAAAAAAAAAAAAAACAGCGAGCCCGGCGTTTTTGTTTCCGATTTCTGCCGGCGGCGGCCGCCGTCGGGCCGTGGGGCAATGTCAGAGTGGATCTCTGGCCGGGGCTCACGGGACGGGGGCCAGCGCGCGGGATCCTGCGGGACCCTGCGGGGCCAGGGCTCTCCCTGTCTCCCTCCCTCCTTTTTTGCCAGCGGTATGCTGCAAGCGACGCTAAAGAAATGAGCACAATACAATTACAACAACACCCGTCCCACTCTCCGCCCGTCCCTCCTTCCCTCCCTCCCGGGTGCACCGACCCAGGCCTGGGCGCAGGATCCTGCAGGATCCTGCGGGGCGTGGCGGGATCCTGCAGAGCTTGGCTGACCCGGGTCTGCATCGATCCGGGTCAGCAGCTCCCGGACAGTTGGCGCGAGACGTGCCCCGCCAGGGGCAGCGGGCGGGACCTCCTGGGGCCGCGCCTGGCACGAGTCATCTCGTCGGGTGCCTCTTTGGCCGCCACCGCCGCGCAGTGGCCGAGCGCTCTTGGACCGAGGGCCCCCAGCCATCGTTGCTCAAGGATCGAGATTCGAGGATCGAGGCTCAGCACTCCTACACACAGACGCGCACGTTAGGATGCAACGTCCTGGAGGTCGAATGCAGAGTCGGCTTCGGCATATTCCTGGTCGAAGACCGATCTAATCTGGGTCAGTTCCGTTTCATCTCGCTTCATCCGGGGTTCATCTGGCTCAATCCGGATTACTTTTGGGCTTATCTTGTTTTGTCTGGCTTATTCCCGCCGCAAATATACTTGTACAGACACCCTCCAATGGAGAAGTCCTGGATCTCAGAGGAGGGTAACAGTGTATAGAAGACCACTGGGAGCCAGCGAGTTTATACCGCCGCCCTCCCTAAAGGTGCATGGACAATTCGTCGGAGAGTGTCTGTGTATGCATGCATGTATGCATGTATGTATGCATGCATGCATTTATGCATTTATGTCCGTCTCTATGTATGTATGCCTGTATGTCTGTATGTCTGTATGTATGTCTGTATGTCTGTCTGCCTGTCTGTCTGTCTGTATGTATGTATGGAGGTCTATATGTATGTCTGTCTGTCTGTATGCATGTACATGTGTATGTATGTATGTATGTATGTATGTATGTATGTATGTATGTGCGCACGTAAGTATGTATGTATGCATGCATATAGCTATCGATGTATGTATGCATGCATGTATGTATGTATGTATGCATGTGTGTATGTATGCATGTATACATGTATACATGTCTGTGTGTATGTATGTATGTATGTATGAATGCATGTATGCATGCATGCATGTATATATATATGTATGTATGTATGCACGTCTGCATGTATGTATGTATGTATGTATGTATGTATGTATGTATGTATGTGTGTAAGTTCATATGTACGTGTGTATGCATGTTTGCGTATGCATATATCGAGGTATGTGTATATGTATGTATGCATGTATGCATGCATGTATGCATGTATGTATGTATGTATGTATGCTTGTATGTAGATATATAGGTAGGTATGTGTATATATGTATGTATATATGTGTGCATACATGCACGTATGTATATATGCCTCTATGTGTGTATCTATGTACGTATGCATATATACATGCATGCATGCATGCATGCATGCATGCATGTATGTATGTATGTATGTATGCATGCATGCATGTATGTATGTATGTATGTATGTATGTATGTATGTATGCATGCATGTATGTATGTATGTATGTATGTATGTCATGTATGTATGTATGTATGCATGTATGCATGTATGTATTTATGTATGTCTGTTTGTCTGTCTGTCTGTCTGTATGTCTGTCTGTATATATGTATGCATGTATGTATGTGTGTGTATGTATGTATGTGTGTGTGGATTTATGTATGTATGTACGTCCATGTATGCAACTGTAGGTCTGCAAATAAACGTATGGATTCGTGGCATAGTAGGGCCCTCTTCAATCTGGCCGAGCCCTTAACCAGTTCTTCTGAATACCTCCGAGGAGTTGCCTCCTAGCGCGCGCCAGGCTCTGCCGTCGCTCCAGGGCGCGCGCGGACAATCTCCACACGGCGACCGACGTTAGAACCCTATGCGCGGACGACGTGTGTGTACCGTACCGCGTTCGCGCCTCTTGAGGCGTCGTCGGTCCTCGACCCAGGAATTACGCTGCATCTTTGTGGGACCTCGCCTGCACCCCAAATCGGTGTCCCTTCCTTTGCCCGGCGCGGGTTCGATGTGGACTCGACGTGGATTTGGCGCGGACTCGACGCGGATTCGACGCGCACCCGACACGGATCCGACGAGTTAGATCGGGATTCGACGCGGACAGGGCCGCGACGGGACAGACAAGGTCCCCCGAGGATGCAACAGAAGACATGTGTGCACCGTACCGCGTTAGCGCCTCTTGAGGCGTCGTCGATCCTCGGCCCAGGAGTGGTACGGTGCATAGCCTTTCGGCCCTGAGCGCAAGAACATTGTGCTTAAGTCGGGCCTGTCCCTCTACAGGGGGAGTCCTCAAAAATAGTCAAAAATAATGGGACGATTTTTTGACCATTTTTGGGCATTTTTGGGGTATGTTTTTGAGCAAAATCCCCCTGTAGAGGGACAGGCCCGACTTAACATTATGCACCGTAGCGCGTTTGGGCGGGGCCCGAAGGAGGTCCAGACGTAGTGCGGTGCAGGCGCGCCGTCTTCGCACCGTACCCCTCCCGAGGGCAGAGCTTTATGTCCATGCCTCCGCCCTGGCCCCTCGTGGGGTCGGGGCTCTGGTCGTGATTTTTGGCGATGTTGCATTTTCTTGCAACATCGGATCTCAGGGCATGCCTTAAGTCGGGCCTGTCCCTCTACAGGAGGAATATGCAAAAATAGAAAACACATAGTCAGGATACGTTTTTTTTTGTTTTTTTTTTTTTTTGTTTATCATGTTTGAGTATTTTCAAGTATTTTTTGACTATTTTTATTTTTCGTCCAAAATCGCCCTGTAGGGGGACAGGCCCGACTTAAGGCATGCCCTGAGATCCGATGTTGCAAGAAAATGCAACATCGCCAAAAATCACGACCAGAGCCCCGGACCCCATCTCTGTACCATTTTTCGAGCTGGATCGATCTGCGAGGGTCCCAGGACCTGGAATCGCGAGATAACGCCCGGTATGAAAAAGTGCAACGCCCGGAGGTACCGATACCGCTGCTCCCCGGACCTCTCCAGGGGCGCGTTCTGACCAGGGTTTCGAGGCGAATCCAGCGGTGGCGGCGAGGGCTCCCCCGAGGGCCCAAGAAGGGGAATACCACGGAGGGATAATCGTATGAGTACCTCTTCTAGAGGTCTCCTAGATGGGGTCCGAGTAGATGGGGTCGGAGGATCGCGCCGCATCGCCGATACATCGACGATGTATCGGCGATGCATCGGCGATGCACCGGCGATGCATCGTCGACGTCTGCGATGCATAGGCGACGTCGACGTCGGGCCGAATCGGCGATGCATCGGCGATGTGGAGCGATACTCCGACCCCAACAGCTCGGACCCCATCTGGGAGGCCTAGATCTTCCTCCTCCGAAAAGCGTCGATCGCCTATTCACACGCGCACTCTCTTGATGACCATGGTGTCCAAGGCGGCCTCCGCCCTGGCTGGCCTCTCGCTCGCGCGGGCTTTGGCGGCCGGCGCCGGGAGGGCCGCCTGCGACTGCCTGGAGTTCGCGGCGGTCTACTACGACAACCTCGCCTCCTGCGGCCGCGCCAAGGATCGAAGAGCAGAGAATTCGGAGGACCCAGAGATCCGACGCTCCAAAAAAAATCGAGCTGGTGGTTTTGGCTTGTTTTTGGCCTCTGGGGGCCCTCGCCGGGCCCAGGGACCGTCAAAACGACTCAGGACGAAAAACTGGTCCTAGGGAAGTGGTCCAGACCTCCGGGGCCCGCGCATCGAAAAAATTGGAGCAGCCGGATGTTTGGGCCCTCTCTCGTGTTCCCATGATCAGGCCTCCTGGTAGGCCCTCGTCGCCGCTGGATGCGCCTCAAACTCCTGGTTCTCCCATTTTCGGGCCTCCTGGTAGGCCCTCGTCGCCACCGCCGGGTTCGCTTCAGAATCGGGGTCAGAACGCACCCCCAGGAGCTGTCCAGGAGTAGTGGCATCGGTACCTGTTGGCATCCCCAACGAACATACGGTCGGCTTCTGGAAGGTAGCGTTAAGTCGGGCCTGTCCCTCTACAGGAGGAATATTCAAAACTAGTGAAAAAATGGTCTGGGACGATTTTTTTTTTTTTTTTTGTTTTTTTTTTTTTTTTTTTTTTATTTTTTTTTTTTTTTTTATTTTTTTTGTTTTTTTTTGTTTTTTACATTTGTGGGTATTTCTGGAGTTTTTCGTGCAAAATCCCCCTGTAGGGGGACAGGCCCGACCTAAGCCTATGGCGAGTCATCCTCCACCCGAGGGGGTAGCATGCACCCGAAGAAATCCCGGCAGGGGGCCCGCGTGCACAGATGGGGCCCTCGCGGGGGGAGTGCGCCTCGCAGCAGCGGCGTGCTTCTCGGAGATCGGCGTCACCCCAGCATACTTCTGCCACATGTGCGTTGCCCCCCCCCAGGGGCGACGCGCTCGCCGAGAAGTCTTCTAGTATATGCGTCGTGGCCGGCGCTTTCTGGCCACATCGCTCGGGAAACGATATATATATATATATAGATATTACAAGATGGGTATACTATATGTCCTGGTCGGACGCGCGCCTCCAAGGAGGACATACAGCATTAGTATGTCCCTGTGCGTCCCACTGCACGCTCCTTTCCAACGCCAACCGGAAACCTTCGGAGCTCCGCGTAGACTTCTTGGACCTGTGCTGGACCTCACAGGCGGCGCCTTCGGCGCCGCCCCTGGCGCGCTCCGCGCGCCAGGGAGGGGTCTCCAACTCTGATGCAATAAGTCTTCGCGGAGTTCCCAACGTTCACAGTTGGCGTGGGAAAGATAGCGTACAACGTCGCCGTCGATCTCCGAAAAGCACGCTATCAATAGGGGCCGATCCCCTCGCGAGAGCCCCTCCCGTGCACGCTGGCCCCTGCCAGAGCTTCTCCCGAGCGCGAGAGTTCATGCTCCTGCCGTCTTCCTCTTCCGAAGGAGCTGTACTTCCTCACCAAGTACGGCGCCTCCGAGGCATACGCGCCCACGGAGCCCATCGCGGGCCTGCCCCACCAGGTCTGCAACAACTTCTTCAAAAACCTGAAGAACAACTCCTGCGTCAACGTCGACATGTTCTCCTTCCCCAGCCCGAGGAAGGAACACCTGCATACACATGAACTCTGGGAGCTCCGCGCGGATTCCTTGGATCGGCGTGGGGTCCCCTGGCCGCGCCTTTGGCGCCGCCTCTGGCGCGCTCCGCGGGCCAGGGAAGGGGGTCCAGCGCCGATCCAAGAAATCCGCGCGGAGCTCCGAAAGCGCACGTGCATGCTGCTTTTTCTATCTCTTACCAGCGAGACGAGCGATGCCAGCGCGGGCCAGTCGTGGTGCTACGTGTCCAACGAGTGCCTCAGTTTGAACGGTGGCACCTTCGCGACCAACCAGCTCGGCTTCGCGTTGGGCGGGTGGAACAACCTGCAGAGCACGAGCAACCTGTCCTGGAAGGTCTGCGACAGCTCGGGCGCGGACAGCATCCTGAAGGACAAGACGATGGATGAGCTGATCGAGATCGGCCGTGAGAGCGACGTCAGCATGGCCATGCTCCTGCGGTACGCGTACCCGGCCGTGTCCATCACATATGGCGAGGCCAGGGATTTCTTGGAAACCCTCAGCGACGCGGGCCACTGGAACCCTGCGCTCTCCCTGGCCGATAACGTCAACGCCATTGCGTCGCCGCCTTCCACGTGGGGCACCCGGCTCCCTTTCGTGTATACGACGCTCAGCAGCATAGTCACGTCCGAGCAGGGTACGATCTTGGACTCGCCGGGGCACAGGGACGAGTTTCACGTGGTCATCGGCCGCGAGGTGTGGGAGGTGAAGAGGATTCGAAGAAGAAATGATAGATCCACGCAACCTTGTCCACTTCTCCTAGGGTGCTTGCAGCGGGAGCTCGCGCTGTTTTTTTCACTGGGCCTCGTCATCCTTCACGAAATCCACACGCAGATCCCGGAGGGGGTTCAGCGCGGATCCAAGAAATCCGCTCGGAGCTCCGAACGTGTATTCCCCACATGGTTAGTGGGGTTCTGGTTTTCTTCCCCGCTGCGCCGCACCCGCGTCCCCCTCACACACACACCTCCCTCCCTCCTCCCTCCTCCCCTCCTCTTCCTCTCTCACCTCGCCCGCGCGCAACACATGCTCGGTACGTACATGAGACACGCGTCTACATACAGCCGCACGCATGCACACACTCGCACACGCACACATTATCAATGCCAGTGCACGCCTGGCGTGTCCACTGCATCATACAGCCACGACGTATGCGCCATATACTGGGCACCCACATGAGACACACGTCCAGATACAGCGATACAGCCGCTCACGCATCATACTCATGGCACATACTGGGCACCCACTTGAGACACACGTGCAGGTGCAGCCGCACACGCATCATGCACATCGCGCACACGCATCATACACGTCACGCAGCGTGTGGCATGGGTGGCATTTTCTCGACGCCACGGGGTGTGTGCTGGGGGTGGGGTCCTTATCCGTCGTACGCTCGCAACGTGTGGCAGGGGTGGGGGTTGGGTGGTGGCATTCTCTCTGAATTGCCCAAAGGGGGTGTGCTGGTTTTAGGTATCTTTGAATTTTTTTGTTTGCTTTTTACCTTTTATTTAGGGGTGTTTCTGGGTTCACATTCTGGGGTGTCTTGTGCCTTCAATTATGGGAAGTCTTTTATTGTGATTCGTTTTGTTCCTAACTCGTTTTTATGTCTTTCTCCTTTGTTTTCTGATTCTTGGTATGGTTGTTTCTTGGGGTGTCCTATATTGCGGTTGATTTGGTCCTGGTTCTTTGTTTTTTTTTTTTTTGTGGGGTTTATCTTATAGATCTGTTGTCTTCGTCTTTTTTGGGCCTGGGATAATATAGAATGCTTTTTTGTGGTGGACTCCTTACCTGTCGTACGCTCGCAACGTGTGGCAGGGGTGGGCTTTTCTCGATGCCACGGGGTGTGTGCTTGGGGTGGGGTCCTTATCCGTCGTGCGCTCGCAACGTGTGGCAGGGGTGGCAGGCGTAGCATTTTCTCGACACTAGTGGGGGCGCGCGGGGGGTGACTCTCAGCGCGGCTCCTATGCGTTGCGTTGCAGGCTCGCAGGGCATGGCAGGCGTGGCATTTCCTCGACGCCACAGGGGGTGCGCGGGGGGTGCGCGGGGGGTGGGGGCGCTATGCGTTGTATGCTCGCAGGGCGTGGCACTTCCTCGACGCCACATGGGGGTGCGCTGGGGGTGGGGGCTCATGCGTTGCAGGCTCGCAGGGCGTGGCAGGCGTGGCATTTCCTCGACGCCACAGGCGGTGCGCTGAGGGTGGGGGCGCTATCCGCCCTGGTCGTCCACGGCACAGCAGGCGCTGCTTTTTCTTGCATGATCCACGTATGTTGCACGTCAGCTATGCCAAGGCAAGAGTTCAAACGACGTACGTGGGGTTCCTCGGTAGCGTAATGTTTTTTGCCGTTTCCTCGACGTTCGACGCTCGATCCATTCCCCTGCTGCTGACCCCCACTGGGAGCCCGAGAACGCAGGGCACGGATACACACAAGCGCGGCTTTGGTGGCACGACTTCTACCCCTGCCCCCGCTCTCGTCTCTCGTTGGGTCGGGGCGTGCACGTGTGACATGCCGATCGCTTGTCTAATAGCCCTCGGCCCATCCCGCCACCGTGCTCGGACTGTGGGTCAGCGGCCTCGTGGATGCTTCCTGGGGCCTCTTCGGAGTGCTCTATGGGGATGCCTCGTGGGGGCAGGTTTGAGGCCTCCTGGCCCCCCCTCCCTCGTGGAGTAGGTCTTGGCAGTTTTTGGCGCCCGTTTCGAGCAGGTGGGGTCTCTCCCCCAGAGGACGCACTGTGGCAAACAGTCGCATTATAAGCAGAGGTCCAGAGCCAGACCCCCCCCTCCCCCCCGCGCCGAACAAGACAACGCTCACCTCCTGGGCGAGAGGTCTGTCCCAAGAGGCCCACGCGGGTCACTCCAGAGGCGACCAGCAGCGCCCATGGAATTCCGGGAATTTTGTGGCTGGGGCCCGCAAGAAGTCCTCCTCCTCCTCCTCCTCCTCCTCCTCCTCCTCCTCCACCCCTCAGAACTCAGGGAGCCTTGGTGCACTCCACTCCGTGCTGAAGGCACGGTGGCGCATGTTCGGGCGGGGCTGGGACGAGGATGCAACCGCTGCAGAGCGTTCTGGGACGCTCTCATAACGTACTGGGACGTTCTGAGAAGGCCGCGGCACCCGATACATCCTCAAGTGCCGGCGGAGCTCAGAGAGTACTCTCGATTTATTATCACCCGAATTTGTCCTCGCGGCTCAGAGAGTACTCTCGATTTATTATCACCCGAATTTGTCCTCGCGGCTGGGGCGGGGGCCCTGGGGTGCGGGGGCTGGGGTGGGGGCCCAGGGCCAGGGCCCAGCCTTGGCCGGGGCCGAGGCCGGGGCTTGGGGGCCGGGGCGGGGGCCGGGGGCCAGGGCGGGGGTGGGGGCGAAAGGGTCCCACGAAGCTCCAGGAAGGCCCTATAAGAGGACCTCAAGAGAGCCCCAAGAAGGAGCGCCGGGGCCCAGGCCAGGGCCGTGGCCGTGGCCGGGGCCGGGGCACGGCGTCAGGGGCGGGGGCCGGGGTATAGTATACGGGGGCGGGGCCGTTGCCGGGGCCGCGGCCAGCGCCAGGGCCCAGGGGCCATATGGCGCCATGGAGGGCCGGGGCGGGGGCCCAGGCGGGCCCGCGGGGGTCCAGGGCTGCCCTGAGATCCCCTGGCGTCTCAGGTTTTTCCAGCCGGGCGTTTTCGTTTTTTGTTATTCGGGCCCCGGGGCCCTCAAGGATCGCTCCGGCTGGAAAGATGACGCGGAAAGATGGGGTCTGTAGGGCTCCTGGTGTGATTTTTCACGATGTTGCAATTTTTCCGCTACGCCGGGTTTCAGGGTGGGGCCGAGACCGGGGCCGGAGCCAGGGTTGAGCAGGCGGGGCCGCCGGGGAGACCACCGCCTCCGGGACCCCCCGGGGACCCCCTCCCCACCCCCTGGCGGGGAAGGGACAAAGAGCGGGGACCTCTCTCGACGGAGTTACGAGATTGGCGATGCCTCTTGTTTGTTCGGAAGGCCCTTGCGACGAGCAGAGACTCAGAAGGAGGCTGGCGCAACTGCTTCAATCTGGGTCGGGCGGGCCTCGCGCCGACGGGCCTCCCCCACGAGCCGGCTGGGCCGGCCGACTGCTCGATCCCCTATTATAGGAGCGACGAGGGCAACATGGCCTACCTCGCGGGCAAGTTCTACCTGGAGTTCGACGTGGCCTGCGTCCTGGGCTGCGCCCCCGCGGCGAGGGAGGCGCCCCTGGACCTGCTGACGCAGTGAGGGGGCTGCGGGGCGGCGGCCGCGGAGACCGGAGCGGGGTCCGCCGGGTGCTCCCCTTCTTTTGTCAGACGCTCCTCCTCCTCCTCCTCCTCCTCCTCCTCCTCCTTCACTTCCTCCTCCTCCATTCCTCCTCCTCCTCCTCCTCCTCCTCCTCCTCCTCTTTCTCCTCCTCTCCTCCTCCTCCTCCTCCTCCTCCTCCTCCTCCTCCTCCTCCTCCTCGTCGTCATCTTCCTCCTCCTCTTAGGGAAACGTAGGACTCGGGTTCGCCAGACCTCGGGCTCGCGGCTTGCCCACGCTCCTTGACGAGCTCGCCCTGGAGCGACGGTCCGGTGTTCGTGGGACGTGTGTGCTGCGGGGATTCTCGTCAGATTTCGAGCTGGGTCCCGTCGTTCTCTTGATCAGGAGCGACAAAAGGACGTACACGTACATGAATCCACGCTGGTTTCGAGAGTACGCATTGCGCAAATGTTCGT